AGATTAATTATGCTATTGAAACATTCAATATAGAAGCCAATAAAATGCTTGTCGGCAATGGCGGGTTTCCTTTCACTATACGCCTCCATAATGCTACTAAAATATGTAAATGTATTTCCCAAACTATTGGCTTCTGTAATGTGCTGATATACAACCATATTTATGGCTGCATATGTAATAACATACMGATAGGGTGAGGTATCGTTTTCCATGAGCTCAATGCACGCTCCAAATAGGCTTCATCGATTTTATTTATACAATCGCATAATATACATATGAACTCGCTACCTTACATCATCATCGGCGCCATCAGCGCCATCATCGTCATCATCATATTCAAATTGCCATTCGTTCGACACTTCTTTATTTCTTTGAGCGTCTTGGTTTGAAAAGCWTTTTTGATTTGCCATAAAAACCGATTGAGGCACTGTGTGAAAGGATAACGACGCCGATGCGTTCAGAAAGGCCATAAAAGGAAATGCTACCACGCACACACACACACAAGCAGACACACTTGTATGCAAGCATATAAATAAGCTTAAAGCCAGCTAGTTTGTAGTCAAGTGAGCGCTCGGTTATTTGTTTGGCGATATTGKTAGAAGCTTGCGGTTGATTGTTTTGCATTTGAATGCCTACGAACAAAACAAGCACCAACACAYTTACATTTATGTATGCATGTGTGAGTACGTAGCTAACTGAGAGTGTAGTGCGCACTTTTATAAGTGGTTGTATTGTATTGATTTTCTTTTTGTTCTTGCTTTTGCCTTAAATTGCGCCGTTCGCTCCCTCTTGGCGGGACGTGTTTGTGATATCAATGCTTTAGAAATTATTTATTACACACGTTCACGTGCGCATAAGGCTACTGCCTCGCATGGCTGTATACATATGCAGATGCGTGGAGTTGTGTGTATATTTGCTTGCGCCACTGCGGCGTGCGCTTTGGGACAGCCACGGCGTATGCGTTATTTTTAACTAATTTTGATTTATCGACAAATCAATTTGACAAGATAAAATTAAAGGAAATACGCTTACATATTGGGGTCACGAGCATTGGGTATATGCTGACGTCTCATTGCAATGTCGGTTAGATGACGTGATGTGGGTTGCGCAGGTGTGACACTTTCGAAGCTTGCGGAGGATGGGAGTGGTGAGTGC